GTGGATTGCCGGGAACCCGCGCGCATTTGGCAGACGGATCGCTCATCCGCAAATATCCACGGCTGAATTCGGCGGTTTGCGGCCGCGGCCCGCAGAGCGGTGAAGCGCACTGTGCCGCATGCGTTGGCCAAACGCCCGCCGCTCCGGACGCTGAAAAGGACCGCATCGGAGAGGCGCGGGAACTTGCTGCTTCGCCGCCTCGCACAGCAGCGACGAACGCGTCTCAGCAACGTCGCGGTGGCTCGCTGGAAGGAGCGGTGCTCCCGACCGGAGCCGGCGGAGGCGGCAAGCTGCAGCCTCGCCAGGGCAGTCCACGCCCCGCGCCCCGCCAGTTCCCCGGTTGCGGCGGCGGATGGCCGACCGACCGCCACGAAGGAGCGCGCCGACACCTTGGCGCGAGTGTGCGCCGCCACGTCGGATTTCCCTTTTGGGGAGCTTGACGCTGCGTCGCGGGAGATGCGTCTCCAGAGTGCGCCGGGGCCTGGCACGCTTCACTGCGAGGCCCTGCGCCAACTGCCCCCCGCCGCCTGCAACGAACTCGCGGCCGCGTTCAACGGGAGCATCGGCGACGGTGGCGCTCCGGCTTCCCGGGAAGTGGGCATTGCGACTATCCCGCCCCTCAAGCCTGGGAAGCCGGGCAAATGTTTCCGCCGCGTTTCGGCCCGTCGCCCTCACCAGCTGCCCGCGCAAGCTCGTGAAAAGAATTGTGGCGCGACGCATCCGCGGCACTGTTGAAGCCAGCTTCCTCCCCAGCAAGCTGGTTTTCGCCCTGGTCGCTCCACGCTGGATCCGCCGACTCGCCTGTTAGCTCGGACATTTCACCGCGGAAAGCGGGAGAAGGTCGGTGCGGTGCTAGTGGGTCACGCTGGGGTCTTCGACTCGGTTCATCGCGGCCGCATCCTTCACGCACCCCGCGCGCACAAGGTGGCGCCGTGCCTGAGCCGGTGGGTGGCGGACTTCCTGCACAGCCGCGCGGCCAAAAGCCCCGTGTAAAAAATACGCTCTCCGCACCGGTTCATTTCACCCGTGACGTCTTGCAGGGTTCGTGCTCGGCCCGCCGCCGCCCATCTTTGTCGCGAACAGCCTCGGTTAGGAGCTGACGAGCATCCCCAACCCTGAACTTGCTTTCTTCACTGATGACCTGACCGCCATTACTCGCACCACCGAGAGAGCGAGAGGCGCTATGGAGTGCAAGTTGCGGCGGGCGTTGGGTCGCACCAAGATGGGTGGAGCGGAACAAACATGGAGCCCAGCGCCGCGAAGGCGAAGTGCGCGCTGTCTTGGCACCGCCCTCATGGACAGCTTGCGGCCGCACGCGGGTGGGGCCTGCTTGGCAGAGGATCGCCTCCCGCGATTCTTGGGGCTATTTTGACCCAGCCATTGCGCGGGGTTGGCTGGCGGGCGCGGGGGTGCTTCACTGTCGCAAAAACAAGACTTATGAAGATCAAGGCGGCGTCTGCGACAACGCGGGGGCCGAAATGCGAGAGGCTTCGTCCGCCGCCCAAGACCCTCATTGGTGGGTCCACAAACTCCTCTACGGGGCAGTGGCGCGCTGCAACACGGCTTCGCTGTCGGCGCTGGGGCGCCGGGAGAAGTTGCACATCCGCGCCGCCGGCGTCATTGCTGGCGTTCCCGTCGGGGCCTCTTGGGCGGCTGCTGGAGCGAGGCTTGCCTTCTCTCGTTGGAGAGCGCTGCGTCGATGCGGGGTGCCCAGTGCTATCTGCAGTCGTGCGTGCGCGGCGGCGGGTTAGGGCTACACGCCGAGGCTCTTTTCCCGCCTTCCAACCCGACACACTCAGCCCTCCGCCTGATGGCGGGGAAGTTGCACGAGCGTAGGTGCTTTTGGCAGGCGCCATTGCTGCGGAGCCCCTCGATGCCGCCAACGCGCGTATGTACCTTGGCACGTCGCCGCCGGGCGGATTGGGCGCCGATGCCGATCCGGAGGAGAGATACAAGGGATGCATGCTGCGGGTGGAGTCGAAGGCGCGTGCCCTCCTCTACACTCAATGGGCGGACAGCTC